TATTTTGCAAAATTAATCTCATCCAATTAGTTAAATAGGTCACATGCAACATCCTACATATAATTGGAAACATCTTTGTAAGCAAGACTTTTCCTAAATATAAGATGAAGTTTAGTGTGTACCAAACTACCAATCTGGCCTACTGTTGTCTATGGATCAATCTTTTTTTGTTGGTGCATATGCATAATGTGTAAAGTTGTAAGTACTACAATTCTGTTAGATTGCCCAAATGGATGCACACAAAGAAAAAAAAAGATTGCCCAAGCAACATAAATGATAATATGTAAGTTTCCGTTGCGTTTCTAAAACGAAATTGGATTGTCCAGTATGCGGAAAATACGGTCATGCTGCTTATAAGTGTTATAAAAGGTTCGATGAGAATTATCAGACTGAAGTAGAGACCTTTCCTCAAGCAATGGCGGCTATGAAACTGAATGATTCACCTCAGTATCCTGGAGGAGGCTGGTATCCTGACTCAGCAGCCACTCATCACATTACCAACTCTCCTGCAAATCTCAACACCAGTCAGCCATATGAAGGATCTGAACATGTTATTGTGGGAAATGGGGACTTTCTCCCAATAACACATGTTGGATCCATTGCTTTACCAGGTATTTCAGGTACATTACCCCTCAAAGATGTTTTAGTATGTCCTGAAATTGCAAAGTCTCTCTTGTCTGTGTCTAAGCTGACTGATGATTACCCCTGCAAATTTGAGTTTGATTCTGATTCTGTGTGTTAAGGACAAAGTGACAAACAAGCTTCTAAGTCAGGGAAGCAAGCTTAATGGTTTGTATAAACTGGAGAACACACAATTCTTGGCCTATTACTCATCAAGACAGCAGTCAACCAGTGATGTCATATGGCATAGAAGATTGGGGCATCCACATCATCAAGTTATGCAGCATTTATCTACTATTAGTGCAATCTCCTACAATAAGACTACTAAGTCAATGTGTGAAGCATGTCAGTTGGGGAAGACATGCAGGCTACCCTTTTCAAGATCTGAATTTCAAGCCAGCAAGCCACTTGAGAGGATACATTGTGATGTTTGGGGTCCTGCACCAGTAACTTCAGTTCAGGGTTTCCGATTTTACATTATATTCATTGACAATTACTCAAGATTTTGTTGGTTCTATCCTCTTAAATTGAAATCAGAAGTTTTCTTAATATTCAAGAGCTTTCAGTCTTTGGTAGAGAATCAGTTTAACCAGAAAATAAAGATATTTCAAAGTGATGGAGGAGGAGAGTTTGTAAACAAACAAATGCAGTCTCACTTTGAACTCTGTGGTATTCAACACTTCATTTCATGTCCACACACCCCACAACAAAATGGGTTGGCTGAAAGGAAGCATAGACACATCTTGGAGCTTGGAATGTCTATGCTATATCACAGTCAACTTCCACAACAGTTTTGGATAGATGCTCTATTCACTGCAAACTTCTTGAGTAATTTGCTTCCTACAACCATTCACGACAAGTTGCAGAGTCCCTATGAGGTATTGAATGGTATCTCTCCAGTTTACACTGCTTTAAGAGTTTTTGGTTCTGCATGTTATCCATATCTGAGACCATACACTGAAAACAAGTTTGATCATAAGTCACTGTTATGTGTATTTCTTGGATATACTGAAAAATACAAAGGTTACAAATGCTTGCATCCACCAACAGGCCGTGTCTACATAAGCAGGCATGTGCTATTTGATGAAACGAGATTTCCTTATTCAGAGACGTACAGACATCTTCTCACACCTGGTAATACTCCACTGCTACAAGCTTGGTACTCAGGTAACAAGGAATATGCGTCAACAACTGCATCTGAAGATTCAGTAGAAGAAGTGTCAGTTCAAGCATCTCAACATGAGCCAGCGAGAACTACAGTAACTTCAGAATCAGTGTTATCTCCAGTCTCAAAGTCTCCTACAAACTCACCACAACACTCTGCTATAAACTCACCACAACAGTCAAATAGCTCTGCTTCTGACAGTCAACACTCAGAAAATGTTCAAGAAGAACCAGTAGGTAACACTCATGGAATGGTGACTAGAGCAAAACAAGGAATTTACAAACCAAATCCAAGGTATGTCATGCATACTGTCAAAGGATTACCTGAGGAACCAAAAACAGTGAAAGAAGCATTAAACCATCCTGGTTGGATAGCAGCAATGGGAGAAGAAATTGACACATGTCATGTCACCAAAACATGGAGTTTGGTACCTAAGCCTGCAGAGATCAATCTTTTAGGCTGTCGATGGATTTTCAAAACCAAGATTAATGTTGATGGAACCTTAGACAAACTGAGAGCAAGATTGGTAGCTAAGGGGTATGAACAAGAAGAAGGAGTAGATTTCTTGGAGACCTATAGCCCTGTTGTAAGAACTGCTACAGTGAGAATGGTTCTACATACTGCAGTAAGTGAAAGATGGGATATAAAGCAGTTAGATGTGAAAAACGCATTTTTGCATGGAGATCTTCAGGAAACTGTTTATATGAGACAGCCTCCAGGGTTTGAAGATCCAGAGAAGCCTGATTATGTGTGTCTACTTCATAAAGCTATCTATGGATTGAAGCAGGCTCCGAGAGCATGGTTCGATAAGTTCAGCTCCTATTTGGTTGATTTTGGGTTTATATGCAGTACTGGTGATCCTTCTGTGTCCATTTATCAAGAACAACAGAGTGTGATGCTACTGCTAATATATGTGGATGACATGGTACTCACAGGAAATGATTCAAGCTTGATTTCTAAGTTGCTAAGCAAGTTGAATGAAAAGTTCATGATGAAAGATATGGGACCCCTGAAATATTTTCTGGGAATTCAAGCTCAGTTTACGCCTAAAGGTCTGTTTCTGAATTAAGAGAAATATGCCACAGACTTGTTGATAAATGCAGGGATGCTGGACTGTGCACCCATGCCAACACCATTACCAGTTCAAATTGATCGCATGCCTCATCAAGATGAACTCTTTCAAGAACCAACTTACTTCCGAAGCTTGGCAGGTAAACTGCAGTATTTGACACTGACTAGGCATGATATTCAGTTTGCAGTGAACTTCATATGTCAGAAAATGCATAGTCCCTCGGTATCAAACTACAACCTGCTCAAGAGAATTTTAAGGTATATGAAAGGAACATTGACAATGGGAGTGTCATTATCATCAGAAACAGATTCAGTCCTCAGAGCATATTGTGACAGTGATCATGCTGGATGCAAAGAAACAAGGAGATCAACAGGAGGATTATGCACCTTCTTAGGCTCTAACATTATATCCTGGTCTGCTAAGCGCCAAGAATCAGTTGCCAGATCCTCCATTGAAGCAGAGTACAGAACTCTCTCAAATACTGCAGCAGAAATGTCATGGATCACTGTAGTGTTGAAACAAATAGGCTTACCTCAAGAAAAGACCCCAGAGGTATACTGTGATAACCTAGCAGCAGTATTCTTGTCAGCAAACCCGGTGCTACACACAAGAAGTAAGCATTTTGCTACTCACTTTCATTTTTCCCGAGAAATGGTAGCTATGAGAACTCTGATAGTCAAGCACATACTACCAGCTCACCTTCAAATTGCTGACATCTTCACGAAGCCCCTTCCTCAAGCAAGCTTTCTATCTCTCAGACTCAAACTCGGTGTGGATTATCCACCCACCTCGAGTTTGCGGGGGGATGTTAAAGCCTCAAGTTCAGTCCAAAACCGAAAAGCCCATCAAGAGCCCAAGTTGCAGTCAAAAGCAACTCCAACGGTAACAATGACGACAAACTCACACCATCACCGTGGGAAGAGTACGGCACCTACAGCTCACCAAATCCAGCTCAACAATAGATTCGCATCTCTATCGGATCTAGAGCCATCTGACAGCTCATCATGAGTCTAGATTGTTCTTTGTGTCTGTATAAAAGCTCTAGCTTGTATTAGGGTTTTGGCTAAGTGAAATGAATATGAAAGATTGAGTTTTCCCTTCTACTCTGGTTTGAGTTAAACTGTTGTGTTTTCAAATTGAGTTTTTCGGAAATCTTGAAACATTCCAAATTTCCGATTAGAAAACAAAGGAACAGAAAACAGATCTCAAAATGAGGTTTCATGCAACATATGCTTAAACCAGTTGAGCCATCAAAAATAAATCAACGGAGAATATTCAACAAACAAAAAAAAATTACAGAATGAGAATCTTTTGTTTCACGTGAAAGAACCTAACCAAAAAAAACTTGGTGCTAACTAAAACTAACGTTTTCAATTTAGTGCAAATTAAATCCTAAATTTTTCTTTAGTGAAAATTAAAGTCTGTATGGTAACACAGTAAATGTATCGTTTTAGTTACTAAAAATATTTCAGTCAAAAAGTATTCCTATGATTTCTAGCAATGAATTAAAATCTAATTTATGTCAAATTAATTCCGTTGAATCTAGGCAAGTGGTCTTAAAACCCTCGATTTTAGTTAAAACGTTATCACATTTAAGCTAAGTCGCGATTTATTAGTTTTAGTTAGCACCACATGAAAAAAAACCTTGAGTTAAAGGTAAGATTGTCCATCGTTAGTAGGTACAGGTCAGTAAGAAACCCGAGCAATGCAATAAAAATTTCACGTCATAGAATTACCCGTGGAGTCGTTCATTATAATCGTATATAGTGGATAGATATGATAGATTGATCGTCATTTGCAATAGAATTAGGTCAATATCTATGATGATAATGTGCATATACGATTAAAATAAAATAAAAATCGGCACCACATCTTTTACCAGGGCCTTTTTTTGTACATGAAATTTTTATACAATTTTCCCCTATACCAACAGATGAGTCCATTTGTTTTATTTTGTTAATTCATTATCATCTTTAATTACTTACCTTAATGTTAAAGACAAAAATACAAGTTGGACGTAAAATGACATCGACGACGTCCCCACCAAAGAAATTTCATCGAAACCTTCTTCTTTCGCTTGACCTGAAAAGTCAGTGGTTGACTCATAGACTTACTCACCACCCTTGGCTTAAATGATACACTCGAATGTCTTATCTTCTCAAATTCTTCATTCCTCTTCTTCTTCCTTTTTCCATTCCAATGATTTGTCACGCTTTGTTACTTTTCTTTATCCTCGTCTCTGTCACCGTAGTAGGAGAAGGAGCAACGACGGCGTTCGAGCCCACCGATGTCTTTCTCATCAACTGCGGCGATAATTCAGCCACCAACGACCAAAGTGGCCGAACATGGACGCCGGAGGAGGTAAAAGCTCTGCCGTCAAATTCAGACTTTGCGTCCTTCACTTCAGATGCGTTATACCAAGACTCAGGGATTGCTCAAGTGCCGTACATGAAAGCTCGGATTTTCCGATCTAACTTTACGTACAGTTTTCTAGTCTCTCCCGGCTGGAAATTCCTCCGGTTATACTTTTATCCGACCCGTTACGGTTCCGGTTTCGACGCTGCTAGTTCCTTCTTCCTCGTCAACGTCAATGGTATCACTCTCTTAAGAAACTTCAGCGCTAATTTAACGGCAAAGGCTTCCAAACCGGAGTCAAAGTCTCTTATCAAAGAGTTCATCGTTCCCGTTCACCAGACTCTCAATCTCACGTTCACACCGTCTCGGGATTCGTTTGCTTTCGTTAACGGAATCGAGATTGTCTCCATGCCTGACCGGTTTTACTCAAAGGGAGGATTTGACAACATGATAACAAACGTCGGTAGCAATGCTGACTTCGAGATAGACAACTCCACGGCTTTCGAGACCGTTTATCGGGTAAACGTCGGCGGAGGAACAGTCAATGACGTCGACGATTCAGGAATGTTCAGGCGGTGGCTTTCCGATGATGATTTGGATAATTCGGGAATCATTGTGAACATTCCAGGTGTCAAGATCAACTACACTGAGAAAACTCCGGGGTATGTTGCCCCGGAAGATGTGTACGCCACGTCTCGCCAAATGGGGAACCTACAAGACCCTAAACTCAACCTTTATTTCAATCTGACGTTTTTCCTTACAGTCGACGCCGGGTTTAACTACCTCGTGAGGCTACATTTCTGTGAGACTCTCCCGCAAGTGAACAATACCAACCAACGCGTCTTCTCCATCTTTGTGGGATATCAGATGGCTACCAGATCTGTGGACGTGATTCTGATGAGCGGTGGTCCTCGGAATCCCATGTATCTAGATTTCCATGTGAATGTTGGTTTTGAAAATGGGCCGAGACCTGATCTACGACTTGATTTTCATCCTATGATGGATGATGGTGCATCCTATTATGAAACTCTTCTAAATGGTGTGGAGATTCTCAAGCTGAATGATTCTCAAGGTATTCTCGCAGGACCTAATCCAAATCCTCAATTACCAACGGACTCAACACCAAACCGTGTAAGCCCGCTGAAGAAAAAAGGTAATAAGTCACATCTTTTGACTATCTCACTTGCAGTGGTTGGTTCTGTAGTTGCGCTAGCGATTTTTGTTGTTGTTGTTGTCCTCGTTGTGATGAAGAGGAAGAAGATGAGCAACGAGTTTAGTGTACATACCACAAGCAAGCCATCTACGAACTCGTCATGGGGACCTCTTCCGCACGGGACAGGTTCTACAAATACAAAATCAGCCACATCTCTCCCATCAGATCTTTGCCGTCGATTCTCTATATCCGAAATCAAATCCGCCACAAACGATTTCGAGGAAAAACTAATCGTTGGAGTAGGCGGATTTGGTTCTGTCTATAAAGGACGAATAGACGGTGGAGCCACGATTGTCGCGGTTAAACGGCTGGAAATTACATCAAACCAAGGTGCTAAAGAGTTCGAAACAGAGCTCGAGATGCTCTCAAAGCTCCGACATGTACATCTCGTCTCTCTAATCGGATACTGCGACGATGACAACGAGATGGTACTTGTCTATGAGTATATGCCACATGGTACACTTAAAGATCATCTTTTTAAGAGGGACAAGGCCTCTGATCCTCCATTGTCGTGGAAACAGAGGCTAGAGATTTGCATTGGAGCAGCTCGTGGACTACAGTATCTCCATACTGGCGCGAAGCACACGATCATACATCGAGACATCAAAACCACAAACATACTTCTCGATGAGAACTTCGTAGCTAAAGTATCTGACTTTGGTTTATCAAGACTTGGTCCTACTAGTGCTTCTCAAACGCATGTCTCCACAGTCGTTAAAGGAACGTTTGGTTACTTGGACCCCGAGTACTATCGCCGTCAAATCTTGACTGAAAAATCTGACGTGTACTCCTTTGGAGTTGTTCTGTTGGAGGTTTTGTGCTGTAGACCGATCAAAATGCAAAGTGTTCCACCAGAGCAAGCAGATTTGATACGATGGGTGAAGACAAATTACAAAAGAGGAACCGTTGATCAGATCATTGACTCAGATTTAACCGATGATATCACTTCGACATCGATGGAAAAGTTTTGTGAAATAGCCGTGAGATGTGTTCTAGATCGCGGTATCGAACGGCCATCGATGAACGACGTCGTTTGGGCGCTTGCGTTTGCTCTTCAGCTTCACGAGACCGCTAAGAAGAAGAGTGACAACGTGGAGTCTCTGGATCTAATGCCAAGAGGTGAAGTTGGTACGACGACGGACGGAGAAGATGACTTGTTTAGTAGGACTACAGGAGACGTGGCGAAATCGACCACGACCGATGACTCTGTTCCACTTGTTGGTGATGAGAGGAGTGGTTCGAGCTGGGGAGTATTTTCGGAGATCAATGAACCAAAAGCACGGTAGATTTGATGGCTTGGTAAACAAGTATTACATTCTGGTTACGGTTAATATATTTGTGTACGTATACTTGTTGAATTAAAAAATTATTGTATATAAATATTTGGCAGTTTAAGTTAATTTCAAATAAATAATCTTGATGTTTGTTTGAGTTTAATGTCGCTTTCTTCCTACGAGTACTTCCTCTACCTAGTGATAATTAAGGAGCGCAAGTACAAATTATAGTCATCGAGTTAAGCTAAGCAATGACATTAAGAACAAAGAAGTTTGTCTAATGAGTGGTGTTAAATTTTTTGCCTAATCTAAATCACAAACAGGATTCGCCAAAGCTTTAATGACAAATTTTAACCCGAAGAAATCTTATCATCAAAACTACAAATAAATTTTTATAAAGGTTTATAACATTTGCTTATGTACAAATATTATTCCTATGGGTACACATAATTTTTAGTTTAATTAATATGGTTACGAGTAAATAAAGATTCTTTATGATAGATTTTATCAAAGACGATAAAGTCTTTTTTTTTTTAGGAAATTTAAATTCCTTTTTTCTTTAATTATTTTAAATTTTAGTGTTAAGGCTAGGTTGTGTGGTAAATTTATGTATATTTAGAGAATACTAGAGACCTAAATTGAATTATGAAGTGTATGTATATTTTACCTGAAGATAATTACTAATGCCAAATCGATAAATAACTATTTTAATTATTATTTTTCTTAAAACATGGTCTAGATAACAATAGATCTCATCAATATCTTTCTAAAACATATATAAAAATAATATTTGTGGAATATTAACAAAGAAATCTAATACGTTCCATAGTATAACGTCCGTATCAATTATATAACGAAGCAAAAGAAATAATACTCTCGTTAGAATTTGTTAAAATCCTATATAAATTAAAAAAGGATTAAACTTCATCTAGAAAAAAGGAAATACGAATAATCACAAAAAGAGAAGGAAATGCTCAGTATATATATCTAAAACTTTCAAAACCCTAACACACCAAATCTCAAAGGGATCACAATCTTATATTACTTTTTTCTCGATGATAAACTTGGAGCAAGAAGCCAAAAGAAAGCAGATTCGTGATGGCAAAAGAAAAATTGATCATCACGTAAATACAACGTTACTCGTGAAGATTTTTGAAGCATTCGCAATCGATGACAGAGATCTCTTGAAACCTTACTATGGCAGTAACTACTATTTTATCAAGGCATGGTTAGACGATACCAAACAATACGGAACATATGTGGTAAAAGGTTTCAAAGACTACTCTTTTGCGGTTAATCAAGAAATGAAGATTCCTTTAGATTTTCCTGCACAGTATCTTTACATAGAATTGCTTAAAGGATTCTCGTATAGAGATCCTGGAACATCCAACGGAACTGTTGTGATGGGTCGTGCAAAGATTCGATTGCCTCCTCTTACCAGCTATAAGGTGGTCTCCGGTGACATCGATCTCGTCGGTTTGAATAGTGATCAATGTGTCGTGAAAAAGGGAAACCTAAAATATGCTATGAAAATTCATAGGTATGTCGCATTGGATGATTAGGGTTTTTTCTTATGTTTTTTCGGGGATTATTATAAGAATTATTGGCCTTAATATTAAAAGTTTTCTATAACTTGTGGTTGATTTGATATGAGTTATCCTTCTAATTCTATCACATCTATGCTTTATATATCTATGTATAACTTCTTTTTGGTCAGATCTATTCGTTATATACCTATATATATGGTCTTGTTCTTTTCATTGTCGCTAGCGACACCTTCAGGCGACCCATTACACTGCCTTTCTCTCTTTTTATCAGTCCATAGACATTCTAGCTACACCTTTCAACAATCTATCCATCATTTTTTTTTTTTTTCTATCCATCATTGTTATTCATCTCTATCAAAGTAATTGGTCGCTGGATTTAATATTAAGCAAAAATTCAGTGCGTTATTTTAGAGTCTCTAGCAACATCAAAAAGAACAAGCCCTATGTAGAGATGTTTATGAAGCATAGCATACTATGCATTATTTCTAATTGAAATTTGTATACTGTTTAATATATAGAGAATCTAAAAGTTCGTAAATGAAAAAGAAAACAAAGAAGGGTGTGATTGGTTGGAGCGGTAGACTTTTCTATATTCATCTTAAGCATAGGCACCAAACATAAGCTCAAAGTTTGTCCAACAATTTCAACCACTAATGGCTTCAGACCATTATTGCATCAGACATGAATGGACTAGTAATTATCATGGCTTAACAAAAGGTGAATAATGGTCCCAATGATCAAGTTGATGAATAATTAAGCTGTTTTGATTATCTTATTGGTTTTAATGCAGCAATTGACACTTCGAAACAATTATTTGATTTGCTTTGTCAGTTCAACGGTTGACCCATTGATTAGCCCACCATCCATGACTTGAGCTTAACTGCTTAAGTTATGCACTCATCTCTTACCTTCTTCTTAAAAAAACTCTGATGATCTGTTACGTTTTGTTTCTTTCCTCTGTTCTCGTTTCTGTTACCGATGGAGTTATGGCGGCGTTCGTGCCCACCGATGTTTTTCTCTTCAACTGTGGTGATACTTCCAACAACGTCGACAACAATGGCCGGAATTGGACAGCAGAAGATCGGAAAATTCTGTCGTCAAATTTAGTCAACGCTTCGTACACTTCAGAAGCATCATACCAAAAAACAGGAGTTTCTCGGATCCCGTACATGAAAGCTCGAATATTCCGATCTGAGTTCACTTACAGTTTTCCAGTCACTCCTGGCTGGAAATTCCTCCGTTTATATTTTTACCCGACTCAATACAAATCCGGTTTTGACGCTGTTAACTCTTTCGTCTCCGTCAAAGTCAGCGGTTTCACTCTCTTGCGAAACTTCAACGCTGATATAACGGTACAAGCATCCATAACAGAGTCAAGTTCTCTAATCAAAGAGTTTATCATTCCGGTTTACCAGACTTTGAATCTCACCTTCACACCGTCTGAGAATTCGTTAGCTTTCGTTAACAGAGTCGAGATTGTCTCCATGCCTGACCGGTTTTACTCAAAGGGAGGATTTGACGACGTTGTAAGAAACGTCAGTAGTAACGTTGACTTCGAGATAGATAACTCGACGGCTTTCGAGACAGTTCACTGAGTAAACGTTGGCGGACAAATGGTCAATAATGTCGATGATTCAGGAATGTTCCGAAGGTGGCTTCCGGATGATTCTTTCGGAAATTCAGGATCCATTGTGAATGTTCCGGATGTAAAGATCACATATACGGAGAAAACTCCGGCGTATGTTGCCCCATATGATGTGTACGCTACTAGTCGCTCAATGGGCTACTCCACCAATTTGATTTTCAAGCTGACGGGTATGTTCCTCACAGTTGATGCCGGGTATAACTACCTCGTGAGGCTACATTTCTGTGAGACTCTTCCACAAGTGACTAAACCAGGCCAACGCGTCTTCTCCATCTTCGTCAAAGATAAGATGGCTAAGAAAGAGATGGACGTGGTACGGTTGAGTGGTGGTCCTCGGATTCCAATGTATTTAGATTTTAGTGTGTATGTTGGTTTCGAAAGTGGGATGAGACAACCTGATCTACGACTTGACTTGCATGCTTTCAAGGATACTAATCTAACCGACGCTATTCTGAGTGGTGTAGAGATTCTCAAGCTGAATGATTCTGATGGTAATCTTCCCAGACCAAATCCAAAACTTATAGAATCTAAGGACTCAAGACCAAACCATTCTAATGTAACGCCACCAATAAAAGGTAAGCCACATGTTTTGGTGATAATCCTCATAGCCGTTGGTTCTGTAATTGGGCTAGCGACTTCCATTGTTATCATCATGTTGTTGATCCGTCGGAAGAAGAATAAAAAGGAAAATAGTGTCATCATGTTTAAGTTACTACTGAAACAGTACACTTATGCAGAATTGAAGAAAATTACAAAATCGTTTTCCCACACCGTTGGGAAAGGAGGGTTTGGAACCGTATATAGAGGAAACCTTTCTAATGGGCGTAAGGTTGCAGTAAAGGTCTTGAAGGATTTGAAGGGAAACGGTGACGATTTCATCAACGAAGTCACCAGCATGAGCCAGACATCTCATGTAAACATTGTTTCTCTTTTTGGTTTCTGCTATGGAGGGTCCAAAAGAGCGATTATATCTGAGTTTTTGGAGCATGAGTCTTTGGACCAGTTCATCTCTAGAAAGAAATCATTGACTCTGGACGTGGCAACAATATATAGAATCGCGCTAGGCATCGCTCGGGGATTGGAGTACTTGCACTATGGCTGCAAAACAAGAATTGTGCATTTCGAAATTAAACCTCAAAACATTCTACTAGATGGCAATTTGTCCTAAAGTGGCGGACTTTGGCCTTGCCAAGCTTTGTGAGAAAAGAGAAAGCATTTTGTCATTAATAGACACAAGAGGAACTATTGGTTACATTGCGCCAGAGGTGGTCTCAAGAATGTACGGCGGAATCTCCCATAAATCAGATGTGTATAGCTATGGAATGTTGGTCCTTGACATGATCGGAGCAAGATACAAAGTTGAAACCACAACTTCCAACGCTAGTACAGCTTACTTTCCTGATTGGATCTACAAAGATCTTGATAATGGAGACCAAACGTGGATAATTGGAGATGATATAAATGAAGAGGAAAAAGAGATTGTGAAGAAGATGATATTAGTGAGTCTTTGGGTGTATTCAACCATGCCCATCAGATCGTCCACCGATGAACAGAGTCGTGGAGATGATAGAGGGTAGTTTGGATGCTCTTGAAAACCCCCCCCCCCCCCCCCTAAGCCTTCTATGCATATTTCCACAGAGCTTATTCTTGAATCTTCTTCGATTTCTAATGGCGAGGAAGCTGGAAAACAAACTCAAACCTTTGATTCTACTACTATTTAGCGCAAAATTCTGATTTTTTTTGTTTTTGATGATTTGATAGAAAGAATAATTAAAAAGATAAGAAACATTTTGCAAACTTTTTTCTGATTCATTAATAATTAATAAATCTCAAAAACTATAACAAATCAATAAAATATATTTCTATACAATAATCAATCATGAAGTTTCTTCACAGGGAGTCTTGTTGATGATAAATCATATGCCTTGCTTTGGCGTAGATTCTTCTAAGTGGGCATGGGGCTTATCAAGCAAAGTAAAGCAGTTTGACACAAAATCAATGCGTATGTAGTTTTCGATTCTTTGATAACAATTTCAATGCATATGACACATAATCAATTTTGTTGTTGTTGTTGTTGTCAATTTCAATGCAAAAGACAACAAAAACATTGAGAATGTTTCTCCTTTTACTGTTTTATTGATTAATGTCTAAAACTATGAACATTGAAATTGTGACACCGTTTTCTTAGCTACCATGGCATGCAACGTTTTCTTTTAGTGTGTGAGACATTCTAAGCCAGATGGAGGGTTTGCGTTCAGGGTTTAAGTGAAACATATGATAGGCACGTAACGGGTTGTTTACAAGGGCCGTTAAAGCTTAGGGAGAGAATCGTAATTGGCTCTGTAAATCGTTGGCTCTGTTTCGAGTATAAAACCAGAGTCCCAATGATCCTTTTGAGCTGTGTGTTATATCTTCCATTGACCATTGCTATGAAAATGTGAACTTTTGCATGTGTACCGTTACCTGGGAGAAGTAGATTACCCGAAATGGTGGCTAAACTCGTAAAAAAGTGATTGTGTCTTGTAGCTCTCCGGTTTGCGATTCATGTTCGTTCAAATAGTGAAATTAGAGAGAAAGTGGTCCAATTCTTGAATCAATTCTCAACAGACTGGTATGTCTTCCGGCAATGTTCGATATTGAAATTTTTGATGATATGCAAACTTTGGCCTCTGGAAACGCAAGTGTCTTGCAAAATAGGAAGTTTAGGTATATGACTGACGTTCTTAAGCCAAGATCAAAAGTAGAAGAAGACGGAAGTAGAGTAAAGGAAGAAGTAATTGAACCAAGATCGCAACTGGTCAAAAGACAAAGGAGAAATAATTTCAAGTCATGAACCTCTTGATCCTCAGTCTTGGTGAAGGAAAGTCTAAAGAGGTTAAGAGATACGTATAAGTTCAACTCAGAAGGTGACTTGGCTCAGACTCAACAATCTCATCCTGATGTCCTTTATGTTACTGATTTGTCTAAAGCCAAAAGAAAAAGACTATTATTGTTGTGGTCCTTACAGAAGCTCAAAGATTGCATAGAAATTTAACCAATTACGCTTCAAAGCTAGACTGTTGAAAACCAGAAACCATTGTAAAACAATAAAAATTCTCATTTTTCGAATAATATGGCCAATGCTAAAAAAAAAAGAGAGAGAATAAAATGGTCCCAAAGTTGCTGTATATTTGTTTTTTTTTCTTCTTTTTTTTTAGACAAAAACCATAGTTGCTGTCTTTTGCTGTGCTATTTTTCTTATTGGTTGAAAGAAACTTGAAGAGTGAAAATATTTATTTGGTTTTATGGCAGCAAATGTCAGATTTGACATAGTCTTTTCGTTAGTGAGTAGTGTTTCTTTCTTTGTAAGAAATTTCTTCGAAACATTTATTTGTTTTGCATAGTCAGTCAACGGTTGACCCATTGACTCACTCACCACGTCCACGGCTTACACTTACAATCATACACTCATCTCTTATCTTCTTCTCCCTCCACTAAACCATTTTTTTAAAATACGATGATCTGTTACGTTTTGTTTCTTTTCTCTGTTCTTGTTTCTGTCACCGATGGAGGAGGAGGAGCTAATGCCGCATACGAGCCCACCGATGTCTTGTAAGTGCGGATGAGGTCAAATAAATTACGGAAAGTAAACGAGACAAAAAATTTGTTAACGAGGTTCGGTTTTTCCTACTCTCCGGGACCACGTCCAGATTTCGATTCCACTAGAACAAGAAAGCAAATACAACCTATTCGCAAACGCGTAAATCAAGCACAACCCTCTTGATTCACTGCTCCGTTCTATTAACATGAAATCTTAAGGATAAATCTCTACCCTTAACTAAACTCTCATGAGCCTAGATTTAATCAGGATAACCTAACCCTGAGCCAAACTCCCTCTGAAGGTGACTTGGCTCAGACTCAACAAACTCATCCTGATGTCCTTTATGTTACTGATTTGTCTAAAGCCAAAAGAAAAAGACTATTATTGTTGTGGTCCTAAAAGAAAAAGACTATTATTGGTTGAAAGAAACTTGTTGAGTGAATATATTTATTTGGTTTTATGGCAGCAAATGTCAGATTTGACAGTCTTTTCGTTAGTTTCGAAACATTTATTTGTTTTGCTTAGTCAGTCGATGGTTGACTCACTCCACCACCCACGGCTTACACTTACAATCATACACTCATCTCTTATCTTCTTCTCCCTCCACTAAACTTTTCAAAATTCCGATGATCTGTTACGTTTTGTTTCTTTTCTCTGTTCGCTCTGTAAGTGCGGATGAGGTCAAATAAATTACGGAAAGTAAACGAGACAAGAAATTTATTAACGAGGTTCGGTTTTTCCTACTCCACGGGACCAACTCCATATTTCGATTTCACTAGAACAAGAAAGCAAATTACAACCAATTCGCAAACGCGTAAAACAAGCCCAACCCTCTTGATTTACCGCTCCTTTATATAACGTGAAACCTTAAGGATAATCTCTACCCTTAACTAAACTCCCCTTGAGTCTAGATTTAATCAGGATAACCTAACCCTGAGCTAAACTCCCCTTGAGCCTAGACTTCAAAACAAACCACTTGATCACACAAGCACAAACCCGCAAATTATTCTAACCCTGAGCTAAACTCCCCTTGAGCCTAGACTTCAAAACAAACCACTTGATCACACAAGCACAAACCCGCAAAACTAAGTTGCACACAATCTCACCGAAAGCTCTCAAAGATTTCTTCTTTATGCCTCAGCTCTCTTCCTTCTCCAAGACGTCCTCCACTCCTCCTTATATAGCCAAAACGATTTCCTAATCACCATAGGAGAAGATTTCCAATTTCCATATGAAAAAGTAAATTTCCTTTTATACTCTTCCTTTAATTTTCTCATCAAACTCCACTTTCATCAAGTCTTCCAAATCTCTTTGAGTCCTTTTTCCTTTGTGATTCATCCTCTAAACACGCTCCAAACATATCTTCTCAAACCTTCTAGAAACCGACACACACACAAAAACAGTCGCATCTTGACTTACTTCTTGAATCATTCAGGAACTCCATCAGACAAAAACTTGTATTACTTCTTAACTCATTCAACAACTTCATCAGACTGCAGCTACATCTTCATTCTCCCTCTTTTTGACTATGTTTGTTAACTCAACAGTTCTAACTCAAAACAATATCACGAAACACATCATCATTCTCCCCCTGAATGAGTCACAACATGGTCAAAACTACTTGGAAAATTCTCCCCGCTTTGCAATACGAGGTTGATAGCCTAGTTCACCACCTCCATATAAATCATCTTTCCTAACCCAAATCTTCCTGCGCCTTAAGCCTACATGGCTGGATTCTCGAATGAATCTGAAACAATTCCTCTTAATATGCCCTTGAACTCCACAATGATAACATGTAGGACCATGAAGTCTCACATCAAAAGCATTCTCCATTCGATTTCTCTCCATCAACAATCTGAAACACCTTGGCCTAATATGCCCAACAACACCACAATGATGACAAACAGGTCGAAAAATTCGTTGAGGTGCATTCTTCAATTCTTGATTTTTCCTTAAAGCTGATGCAGTCTTTGTACCAGTTCTCGTAGTAGTTCTTGTACCAGATGCAGTCTCTGCCACAGTTGCAGTTTCTGACACATCCTGATCCAGACGTGATTTTTCCACTAGAAACAAACATCGGATCTGATTTTAAAAGTTTTCCTTCAAATCCAAGACCACACTTATCAGTCTTGCCAATATTCAGAATATGATCCAACTTCTTTGTGCCATTATTAAGCATCCTCAAATTCTTTTGAGCTTCTTCAAGTTGTACTTTAGCTTGTGATGCTTCTTCTTCTTTTTCTGCTGCATATTTCTGTGCTTCAACGACTTTAGCCTCTAACTTGAGTTTTTCCTTAGTTAACACTGAATTCTCCTCAACCATTTTAAGCCAATGCTCATATAAGGCTCTGTAATTCTCATGAAACTCTTCATCACTGATACTTGCAAAATCGTCATCACTTTGATCATTGTCACTTTCAATTATAGCTCCTGTTGCAGACACTGATGCAGACCCTGACACAGACGATGATGCAGACCCTGACACAGACGCTGATGCAGACGCTGATGCAGACTCTGTTGCAGTTTCTGGCAGAAAATTAATAAACGCCACAAAATTCTTTAGTTCTTCTTCCTCATCTGAATCAGTTTCAGAATCACTAGTCACAACATTCATGGCCTTCTTCTTATGCTTTTGTAGATTGGCGCATTCCGAACGAACATGTCCATATCCTTTGCATTCAAAACATTGCACATTCTTTGATGAACTTCTCAATTCTTCATCAATTCTATCCTTCTTCTCTTTTCCTTTTCGCTTCAGATATTTAGTAAACTGTCTTGACAACATAGCCATTGAATCTTCAGTTGATGATCCCTTAAGAGCAACTCCAATTTCAACTTCCTTCTTCACTTCATCTACCTTCTTCATGTTTCCTTTAGCTTCATATGTTTTGCTTAACTCAAATGCTTGAAGAATCCCAACAAACTCATCAAAAGCCATCTCATCTAGATTATGAGCTTCTTCAACTGCAGAAATCTTTGACTCAAATTTTGCAGGTAATGATCTCTTCAACTTCTTCACTAGCTTTTTGTCCTTGTAAACCTTTCCAAGAGAAAACGATTCATTAGATATGTCACATAACTTTGCACTGAAATCAGCCACGGTTTCTTCTTTTTCCATTCTTAGATTCTCAAATTGCGAAGCCAACATATCCAGTTTTGTTCTCTTAACGCTTGTAGTACCCTCAAACATATTCTCCAATGTCTTCCATGCTTTTTGAGCTGATGCACATTGAGAAATTAACTTGAAGCGGCTTGAATCAATAGCATTGTAAATAGCAGTCTTAGCCTTAGAATTGCAACTTGATAGCCTTTTCTCTGCAGCAGTCCACTTATCTCTTGGCTTGAGACTTACAACTCCGTCATCATCCGTAACTTTAGGAGCCTCCCAACCAAGTTCAATCGAACTCCAACAATCTTCATCATGATTACTAATAAAAGCTTGCATACGAACCTTCCAATATCCATAATTCGTTGAATCAAGAAGTGGTGGTCTTGTCATAGACGTACCTTCCTTATATGACTCCATCTCACACGATTCTTAGCTCTGTCATACTTTCTGAACGATCTCCTGAACCTCACCCTTGATCTACCCGAAACAAGACTAAATCTCTATCGAGAACCCGCTCTGATACCAATTGTAAGTGCGGATGAGGTCAAATAAATTACGAAAAGTAAACGAGACAAGAAATTTGTTAACGAGGTTCGGTTTTTCTTACTCCCCGGGACTAAGTCCAGATTTCGATTTCACTAAAACAAGAAAGCAAATTACAACTAATTCGCAAACGCATAATACAAGCCCAACCCTCTTGATTTACCGCTCCCTTCTATAACGTGAAACCTTAAGGATAATCTCTACCCTTAACTAAACTCCCCTTGAGTCTAGATTTAATCAGCATAACCTAACCCTGAGCTAAACTCCCCTTGAGCCTAGACTTCAAAACAAACCACTTGATCACACAAGCGCAAACCCGCAAATTAACCTAACCCTGAGCTAAACTCCCTTTGAGCCTAGACTTCAAAACAAACCACTTGATCACACAAGCACAAACCCGCAAAACTAAGTTGCACACAATCTCACCGAAAGCTCTCAAAGATTTCTTCTTTATGCCTCAGCTCTCTTCCTTCTCCAAGACGTCCTCCACTCCTCCTTATATAGCCAAAACGATTTTCTAATCACCATAGGAGAAGATTTCCAATTTCCATATGAAAAAGTAAATTTCCTTTTATACTTTTCCTTTAATTTTCTCATCAAACTCCACTTTCATCAAGTCTTCCAAATCTCTTTGAGTCTTTTTTCCTTTGTGATTCATCCTCTAAACACGCTCCAAACATATCTTCTCAAACCTTCTAGAAACCGACACACACACAGAAACAGTCGCATCTTGACTTACTTCTTGAATCATTCAGGAACTCCATCAGACAAAAACTTGTATTACTTCTTAATTCATTCAACAACTTCATCAGACTACAGCTACATCTTCATTCTCCCTCTTTTTGACTATGTTTGTGAACTCAACAGTTCTAACTCAAAACAATATCACGAAACACATCATCATTCTCCCTCTGAATGAGTCACAACATGGTCAAAACTACTTGGAAAATTCTCCCCGCTTTGCAATACGAGGTTGATAGCCTAGTTCACCACCTCCATATAAATCATCTTTCCTAACCCAAATCTTCATGCGCCTTAAGCCTACATGACTGGATTCTCGAATGAATCTGAAACAATTCCTCTTAATATGCCCTTGAACTCCACAATGATAACATGTAGGACCATGAAATCTCACATCAAAAGCATTCTCCATTCGATTTCTCTCCATCAACAATTAGAAACACCTTGGCCTAATATGCCCAACAACACCACAATGATGACAAACAGGTCGAAAATTTTTTTGAGGTGCATTCTTCAATTCTTGATTTTTCCTTAAAGCTGATGCAGTCTTTGTGCCAGTTCTCGTAGTAGTTCTTGTACCAGATGCAGTCTCTGCCACAGTTGCAGTTTCTGACACACTTCCTGATCCAGACGTGATTTTTCCACTAGAAACAAACATCGGATCTGATTTTAAAAGTTTTCCTTCAAATCCAAGACCACACTTATCAGTCTTGCCAATATTCAGAATATGATCCAACTTCTTTGTGCCATTATTAAGCATCCTCAAATTCTTTTGAGTTTCTTCAAGTTGTACTTTAGCTTGTGATGCTTCTTCTTCTTTTTCTGCTGCATATTTCTGTGCTTCAACGACTTTAGCCTCTAACTTGAGTTTTTCCTTAGTTAACACTGAATTCTCCTCAACCATTTTAAGCCAATGCTCATATAAGGCTCTGTAATTCTCATGAAACTCTTCATCATTGATACTTGCAGAATCGTCATCACTTTGATAATTGTCACTTTCAATTACAGCTCCTGTTGCAGACACTGATGCAGACCCTGACACAGACGATGATGCAGATGCTGATGCAGACGCTGATGCAGACTCTGTTGCAGTTTCTGGCAGAAAATTAATAAACGCCACAAAATTCTTCAGTTCTTCTTCCTCATCTGAATCAGTTTCAGAATCACTAGTCACAACATTCATGGCCTTCTTCTTATGCTTTTGTAGATTGGCGCATTCCGAACGAACATGTCCATATCCTTTGCATTCAAAACATTGCACATTCTTTGATGAACTTCTCAATTCTTCATCAATTCTATCCTTCTTCTCTTTTCCTTTTCGCTTCAGATATTTAGTAAACTGTCTTGACAACATAGCCATTGAATCTTCAGTTGATGATCCCTTAAGAGCAACTCCAATGTCAACTTCCTTCTTCACTTCATCTACCTTCTTCATCTTTCCTTTAGCTTCATATGTTTTGCTTAACTCAAATGCTTGAAGAATCCCAACAAACTCATCAAAAGCCATCTCATCTAGATTATGAGCTTCTTCAACTACAGAAATCTTTGACTCAAATTTTGCAGGTAATGATCTCTTCAACTTCTTCACTAGCTTTTTGTCCTTGTAAACCTTTCCAAGAGAAAACGATTCATTAGAGATGTCACATAACTTTGCACTGAAATCAGCCACAGTTTCTTCTTCTTCCATTCTTAGATTCTTAAATTGCGAAGCCAACATATCCAGTTTTGTTCTCTTAACGCTTGTAGTACCCTCAAACATATTCTCTAATGTCTTCCATGCTTTTTGAGCTGATGCACATTGAGAAATTAACTTGAAGCGGCTTGAATCAATAGCATTGTAAATAGCAGTCTTAGCCTTAGAATTGCAACTTGATAGCCTTTTCTCTGCAGCAGTCCACTTATCTCTTGGCTTGAGACTTACAACTCCGTCATCATCCGTAACTTTAGGAGCCTCCCAACCAAGTTCAATCGAATTCCAACAATCTTCATCAAGATTACTAATAAAAGCTTGCATACGAACCTTCCAATATCCATAATTCGCTGAATCAAGAAGTGGTGGTCTTGTCATAGACGTACCTTCCTTGTATGACTCCATCTCACACGATTCTCAGCTCTGTCTTACTTTCTGAACGATCTCCTGAACCTCACCCTTGATCTACCCGAAACAAGACTAAATCTCTATCGAGAACCCGCTCTGATACCAATTGTAAGTGCGGATGAGGTCAAATAAATTACGGAAAGTAAACGAGATAAGAAATTTGTTAACGAGGTTCGGTTTTCCCTACTCCCCGGGACTAAGTCCAGATTTCGATTTCACTAGAACAAGAAAGCAAATTACAACTAATTCGCAAACGCATAAAACAAGCCCAACCCTCTTGATTTACCGCTCCCTTCTATAATGTGAAACCTTAAGGATAATCTCTACCCTTAACTAAACTCCCCTTGAGTCTAGATTTAATCAGGATAACCTAACCCTGAGCTAAACTCCCCTTGAGCCTAGACTTCAAAACAAACCACTTGATCACACAAGCACAAACCCGCAAATTAACCTAACCCTGAGCTAAACTCCCCTTGAGCCTAGACTTCAAAACAAACCACTTGATCACACAAGCACAAACCCGCAAAACTAAGTTGCACTCAATCTCACCGAAAGCTCTCAAAGATTTCTTCTTTATGCCTCAGCTCTCTTCCTTCTCCAAGACGTCCTCCACTCCTCCTTATATAGCCAAAACGATTTCCTAATCACCATAGGAGAAGATTTCCAATTTCCATATGAAAAAGTAAATTTCCTTTTATACTTTTCCTTTTTCTCATCAAACTCCACTTTCATCAAGTCTTCCAAATCTCTTTGAGTCCTTTTTCCTTTGTGATTCATCCTCTAAACACGCTCCAAACATATCTTCTCAAACCTTCTAGAAACCGACACACACACAAAAACAGTCGCATCTTGACTTACTTCTTGAATTATTCAGGAACTCCATCAGACAAAAACTTGTATTACTTCTTAACTCATTCAACAACTTCATCAGACTGCAGCTACATCTTCACGCTCCTCTGTTTTCATTTCTGCTTACGATTATATTCATAAAAATCAACTCTTAGATGAAAGAAAGCATTCAATGTAAACAATATTTTATACTGTATATGATTTTACATTCATACAAAGAAAAAAAAACTTCATAGAAATCTTGAACCGTTGATTTTCTATATATTAGCGCAAAACCTTTTCATGTTTTCGTTGGTTCGATAGAAAGAATGCTTAAAATACAAGGAACGTTGTGAAACTCTTTTTTATACGTTTTTATTAATCAATCTTGAGAAGTATAAGTATTGAATAAAAAACCATCTTTACATTAAAGTAATATGGCAAAGATTTTAAACTTATAAAAATTTGTTAAAATAAAAAACAGAGGATGATTGGTTTGAGCTAGAGTTTTCAATATTCATCTTTAGCATTGTGCCAAAAGAATAAGCTCAAATTTTATCCAGAAAATCAGCAATTCGATTCTAACTCGTCAAAATACCAAATATATGGCCACGACAGGCTTAACTAAAGCTGAATAATCTATATATATAATGGGAGAGTTATCTCTCCATCTAGCCTATCCACCTAAGCATCCACCTAAGCAACATTATTTATTTTACATTAAAATACACTTTAAACATTTATTTAGGGCATATGTATGTTACTTATAATTAATAGAAATTTTAAATAAATAAAAATTTAAAAAAAAAAAAAAAAACTATAAAAATATTATTACTATTAGTAGTAATAATATACTTCCACTTTTAATAGATAAAAATTAAAAATGATCATACTTCAAATCTTTAAATATTTTGATGAGTTTTAGAATGGAAGTAAATTTTAAATACATGCTAGAATAAAAATTAATTTATGTAATTCTGTATATAAAATTTTAAACAAAAAAATAAAATTTAAAGTGAAACATTAGTTTCTAAGAACAATATACTACATATTTGTATTTATTATTAAATTTATACTTAAGAAAAATAAAAATTACTAAACTCAACTTAAATTTATAATTTAAGACGAAGGTATTGTAAAAATCACACTTTATCTTGTGAAATTATATAAAAAAATTTTGAAAACTTTGAAACATTATCATCCATCTTTAAAAAATAAATAATCAATGATCATATTATTCATGAGTTCTACACAAAATATACAGAAAATGAAAATGAAAGCCGTTAGAAAAGTGATATGTAATTTGTATAGCATATTCTCAAATGGAACTTAAAACATGATCAAAAAGCAAAACGAGATTGATATTTCATCAAATGCTTTTGACCCAAAAAATTGAGTATTGAAAGACTATAATTAAGGAGAAAATAATTAATAATATGTCTTGCAAATCAATTCATAGTCCAATATATATAATATGTGAGTCAATAGAAGGTAAAAAGAAAGTAGATGTCGAAAGTCAACGAGTGCATCATAGAAGATGACGAAAGAATTGGTAGTTAAAAGTGTTTAAAAATAAATTCTAAAACTTAGAAAGATAATGCACATGACTAAGGTTAAATTCTTTGAGATCTCATTCATTGTGTGAAACGAATGAGTTTTTGGAAAAATACATGACATATATTATTAAACAGATTATTAGATTCAAAGTTGGGTTTAACCATTTGGTGGTTTAATGATGAAAAGTTATATAAAATATGCACATTGATGACTTCGTCGAAAATTCTCTTATGGCACAATGCACTTGCTTCAATAGGTAAAACATGCTTGCTAATGTTATAGCAACATGATTTTTTAGATGTACATTTACACTAAATAATGTTCATGAAACTAGGTATATTCACATTTTATATTAAATGATGTTAAAATTTGAATTGTTATATTTATGCTCAAATATTTATCTTTTAAATTTAAATGATTATATCTTATGATCAAAAAATTTTATTAATAAAAGAAATTTTAAATTAAAATTCCGCGCAACGCGCAGGCACAAAATCTAGTAGTTCCAATGAGCTAGTTTGAGCTGATGGAAACATTCTATCTTTTATCAGTCAACTGTTGACCCATAGACTCACTCCACTACCTATGACTTAAAACTTCAATTATAGACTCATCTCTAATCTTCTTCTCCATCCATTAACCTTTCAAAAATACCGATGATCTGTTTCATTTGCTTTGTTTTCTCGATTCTCGTTTCCGTCTCCGGCGGAGGAGGAGAAGAAGCAACGGCGCCATACAAGCCAGCCGATGTTTATCTCATCAACTGCGGTACAAACTCTTCCACCATCGACAACAGCGGTCGAACTTGGACGCCGGAGCAGAAGAAAATTCTTCCGTCGAATTCAGACAACGCGTCGTTCTCTTCACTTGTATCATACAAAGAATCAAGGCTTCTTCCTCAAGTTCTGTACATGACCGCTCGGATTTTCCGATATGATTTTACGTACAGTATTCCAACCTCTCCCGGCTGGAAATTCATCCGGTTACATTTTTATCCAGCCAAATACTTATACGGACCCGATTTCGACGAGGATTTTGACGCCGCCAGTTCCTTCTTCTCCGTAAGTGTAAACTGCTTTACTCTTTTGACGAACTTCAGCGCCGATTTAACGATGAAAGCTTCCAAAAAGTCAACTCTTATCAAAGAGTTTATCGTTCCCGTTTACCAATCGCTGAATCTCACGTTCAGGCCGTCTAAGAATTCGCTAGCTTTTGTTAACGGTATCGAGATTGTCTCCATGCCTGACCGGTTTTACTCAAAGGGAGGATTTGACAACATGATAACAAACGTCGGTAGCAATGTTGACTTCGAGATAGATAACTCCACGGCTTTCGAGACCGTTTATCGGGTAAACGTAGGTGGACAAATGGTGGGCGAAGTCCACGATTGGGGAATGTTCCGGCGGTGGCTTTCTGATGATGATGAGTTCCTACAAGGTGGAATCAATTCGTACCTACCAGATGTACTGATCAACTACACAGAGAAAACTCCAGCATATGTTGCGCCAGCGTCCGTGTACGCCACGTGGCGCTCGATGGGGAACGCCCAAGCCTCTGAACTAAACCTGAATTTCAACCTGACGTGGCTCTTTACAGTCGATGCTGGGTTCAATTACCTCGTGAGGCTTCATTTCTGTGAGACTCTACAGCAAGTGAATCAACGCGTCTTCTCCATCTTCCTTGGAAGTCAGATGGCTAAGAAAGAGATGGACGTGATTGGGTTGAGCGGTGGTTCTCTAATTCCAATGTATCTAGATTTCAGAGTATATGTTGATTCTGAAAGTGGGCCGAGACCTGATCTACGACTTGACTTGTATCCTTTAAAGGAAATTAAGCCAATGTATTATGACGCTATTCTGAATGGTGTAGAGATTCTCAAGCTTAACACCTCATACGGTAATCTGGCCGGACCTAACCCAAATCCTCCATTGTCATCGAACTTAACACAAAACCGTGTAAAGCAGGAGATGAAAGGTAAGTTTTCACATCTTCTGGTGAAAATCTTCATAGCCGCTGGTTCCGGAATTGGGCTGGCGACTTTCATTGTTGTTCTCATGTTTTCGATGCGTCAGATGAAGAGGAAGAATAAAAAGGAAGAAAGTGTCGTCATGTTCAAGAAACTACTGATTATGTACACTTATGCAGAATTAAAGAAAATTACAAAGTCATTTTCTTACATAATTGGGAAAGGAGGATTTGGAACTGTTTATGGGGGAAACCTTAGTAATGGTCGTAAGGTTGCAGTAAAGGTCTTGAAAGATTTGAAGGGAAGTGCTGAAGATTTCATCAATGAAGTTGCAAGCATGAGCCAAACGTCTCATGTCAACATTGTTTCTCTTCTTGGTTTCTGCTATGAAGGATCTAAAAGAGCGATTGTGTATGAGTTTTTGGAGAATGGGTCTCTCGATCAGTTCATCTCTAGAAATAAGTCATTGACTCATGATGTTACAATGCTGTATGGAATCGCGTTAGGCATTGCTCGGGGATTGGAATACTTGCATTATGGCTGCAAAACAAGAATTGTGCATTTCGACATTAAACCTCAGAATATCTTGTTAGATGGCAATCTTTGTCCTAAAGTCTCAGACTTTGGCCTTGCTAAGCTTTGTGAGAAAAGAGAAAGTGTTCTGTCATTGATGGACACGAGAGGAACTATAGGTTACATTGCACCTGAGGTCTTCTCAAGAATGTATGGCCGAGTCTCCCATAAGTCAGATGTGTATAGCTATGGAATGTTGGTCCTCGACATGATTGGAGCAAGGAACAAAGAAATAGTAGCAACTATTGATTCCGCCGCTAGTTCGACTTACTTTCCAGATTGGATCTATAAGGATCTTGAAGATGGAGAACAAACATGGATATTTGGTGATGAAATAACCAAAGAAGAAAAAGAGATTGCAAGGAAGATGATATTGGTAGGTCTCTGGTGTATTCAACCATGCCCATCAGATCGTCCACCGATGATTAGAGTCGTTGAAATGATGGAAGGAAGTTTAGATGCTCTTGACATTCCCCCTAAGCCTTCTATGCATATCTCCAATGAGGTTATTCCCGAATCTTCTTCACTTTCTGATGACGAGGAAGCTGGATAAAAAGATTTGTTGATATTTACTAGCATGAAAATCCTACTCTTGTTGTTTTATAGAAATAACTGTAAAAGAAAAAAGAAAAAAGTTTTCAGTGATTATTCTTATAACTTAGTAATATACAACTATGAATTAAAAAGTTTCTAATTTATTTAATACCTTAAATAATAATATTGATAAAAATAGCCAATAATGAAACACCACTTATAGAAGCATGTAATCTTCGTCGGAGTTTTCCTCCACTATACTTTGAAGTGAAAGCATTAGTATAGACGATGAGAAATCTAATTGCAGACAAACAGATTGATGTTATTTTTGTCACACTGCTCTGAACTAGTGAGATAATATTTATGCTAACATATGGGTAAGCCTTTGAGATTTATCTTGAAAAAATAGAGAAAAATAAGGAAGTGTTCTTGTCTTTTACTATTTCTTTTGTTTTCGTAATACTAATGTTAAAACGGATCTGTTAGCACAAAATGTTCATGTACATACCCAAATTTTCAATTAATATACATATGTTGACCAAAATAAAGTCTTTAAAAATAGAAAAAGTAATGGTTAATGGGCTTACCAAATAAAGTCTGACGTGTAATCTTGACTCTTGACCTTAATATAAATTTAGATTTCATTTGATAAAATAAAATTATTCCCTAAATTACACAGGAAGAAACCAAATAGTGGAGAGAACAAAAACACCAATTCGATTATTTCATGGCTTAGAAAATAAGAATCTATAAGTTCTCTCTATCGAAACCCAAAACAAAAGTTGAGACCTTTTTTATTTTCTTTGAGATGGGTAACAAGAAACTGTTGACTGGTGGGTCAAGCAAAACTTATGGTAGTGGTGGTAGTAGCTACAGAGATCCTCTGTTGCAGAATCAGGTCTGTTCTATAAACCTTTCTTGTTTCTCACTCTCATGTCTGATGATTCTTGCTTTTGTAAAGTTTCGACCTTTATTCACCAATAGTTTCTGGAACCTAAAGAAATTGTGGTGATGGATTCTATTTCCTGTGTCATGTGACTTGAAATTACTTGTTAGCTTTTGAAGCATAGAGTTCTCATTTGACATGTAATCATTTGATTGGAACTATTGGATTGTTACAACAGAAGAAATATTCTTAAAGTTTGATTCTTGAAATTTGATTTTGCCAAATTATGAGTTTCCAAGTTTATATGCTTGAAAACTAGGACATGTGTTTCAGTGAGAACCTTGATTCCAAATTTGTTTTCATTCTTTAACATGTGCAGGATAAACCGAAAGCGAATGGAAGCGAAAATGGTTCAAATGATCTTGAGCATGGTGTTGTTGAGGTATTTGTTTGTGTTGTTTTTACAGAAACTTTTCATGTATAGAAGTAATATTATCTAATCTTAATTGGTTTTTTCAGGCAGCAAATGTTGGATTTGGCAGAGTCTTTGCGTTGGTGAGTGATTCTTTTGTTATTTAAAAGTGTATATCATTCTTATGTAAAGATATGCCGATACTCAAGTATTTTGGTTGCGCAGGCAAAGCCCGATGCGGGAAAGCTAGTGATTGGTACCATTGCTTTGTTGATAGGTTCAACAACTAATCTCCTTGTTGTATGTATCATTTCTTGATCTTCAACTTCCTATCTATTTTATTTTCGTTATCATCATTTTAGGAGTTAATCTCTGAAGTGGTATCGTAGATGGATTCATATTTCTTATTAGAACTAAGAAAGCTGAACTTTTTATGTTATGCAGCCAAAGTTTGGTGGGATGATTATAGACATTGTATCCAGAGATGTCAAGACGCCTGAGCAGCAAACAGAATCCTTGATTGCTGTTAGAAATGCCGTCGTAGTCATTTTGCTTATCGTTGTAATTGGGTAATTACATCTTCGCAAAATTTCATTAGTCCTCCTTGATCTTAAGAGTTTTGGTTTGGTCTGACTCATACTTTTTTTATGTTTGGGTTTCTTTAGATCGATATGCACGGCTTTGCGAGCGTGGCTATTTAACTCTGCCAGCGAAAGAGTTGTGGCTCGACTGAGAAAGGATTTGTTCAAACACCTAATGCATCAGGTAAAACTTTTTTCAAGATTCTTATGATTTGCTTTATCCGTTGCCATTATTCTTTTAGTTAGTCTTTCATGCATTGTTTGTGACTTTTGATGTCTAATGAACTAACTTTTATCTGAGAAAGAAATTGAAAAAAAATTGTTATTGTTGTTCTTTGCTAACAGGAAATAGCATTTTATGATGTCACAAAAACCGGAGAACTCTTAAGTAGATTATCCGAAGACACCCAGATCATAAAAAACGCTGCTACGACAAATCTTTCTGAAGCTCTTCGTAACGTAACAACTGCGCTTATTGGAGTTGGTTTCATGTTTACATCATCTTGGAAATTAACATGTAAGAAGCTTCTTTTATCTTTTTAAGGATTTGGTACTAGTAGATGGAATGAATACACCAACTGACTTATCTTCTTGTTCACCAATTATGCTTTTAGTGTTGGCGCTAGTAGTAGTTCCGGTAATTTCAGTTGCTGTGAAACAGTTCGGACGCTATCTGCGTGAACTTTCACACACAACTCAAGCTGCAGCTGCTGTTGCTGCATCAATTGCTGAGGTTTTAGCTCTGCTTTTTTCATACAGTGCTTATCGATGTTCATTTTTTCAGTTCATTTTTTAAAAATTAATTGGATCAATATTTACTATTCAGGAATCTTTTGGTGCAATCCGAACTGTTAGATCTTTTGCGAAAGAAAGCTATATGGTATCACAATATTCCAAGAAAGTTGATGAGACTCTGAAGCTAGGACTCAAACAAGCTGTGAGTTTTTGTGGAACAAACCATTTCATAAAATTAAACTCTTTGAATTTTGATGTGTCTTTGAGAGGATTTATCTGTTTTTGGGTGATTTAGGTACTTGTGGGATTGTTCTTCGGTGGACTAAACGCAGCTTTCACATTATCTGTTATTACGGTTGTTAGTTATGGAGCATACTTAACAATATATGGTTCCATGACCGTTGGAGCACTAACTTCCTTCATTCTTTATAGCCTCACAGGTTTCGTTTGCATTCTTGTTTCTCGATATGGAGTTTTTAAAAATAATTATTGTATTAAACTACGATGTTGTTTTCGCAGTTGGTTCATCGGTGTCTTCTTTGTCGAGTTTGTACACAACTGCAATGAAAGCTGCAGGCGCTAGTAGACGAGTTTTTCAGATCTTGGACCGTGTTTCTAGCATGTCAAGTTCAGGGGATAAGTGTCCAGTCGGGTGAGATTTCCTCTCATACTCCTTAATAAAATTTTATATATAAAAAAAACAGTATCGGTTTATGTCCTCGAAAATTATGGCTGCAGTGTTCCTGATGGAGATGTGGAACTAAATGATGTCTGGTTTGCTTATCCTTCTCGCCCTAGTCACATGATACTCAAGGTACGTAACACTAAATCTTTGTTTGTACTCTGTTTATATATCACAGTTACAAATATAATGCATTACTGAAAGTTTGGTAGAACAAATAAAGGTTTGGTTGTTTGTAATTTTTCAACTTAATAGTTACAAATATAGCAGATTCTTGAACTAATGAATCATGACTATATATTTCTGAGGATGATAACTGGATGCGTAAACCTGTTACAACTTTAACCATCGCTTAAACACGCAAAACTTGCAGGGAATATCATTGAGGTTGACACCAGGCTCAAAAGTTGCACTTGTAGGACCAAGTGGTGGAGGAAAAGTAAGTTCAGACCATATACCATTTAGCATGCCAAAACCAAATAGTTCAATACCTTTTTGGCTTGGGTTCGGTTTTCGTAGAAAAAATAGGAAAGAATTTTGAAAGATTTTACAGTTTTAGTCGGTTTTATTTCCAACTCACTTAATTTTCTCTTTAGTTTGGTTTTTGGATATATTTACAATTCAGTTTGGATCTGATGAGCTGGATTAGAGACCCTCATAATGAGAGCAAATTTTCGCGAGGTCCGTTGAATGTTTTTTCATCTTTCATTTGCTATATGCAGACGACCATAGCCAATTTGATTGAGAGATTCTATGATCCTCTCAAGGGAAAGATCTTGCTTAATGGAGTTTCTTTAATGGAAATTTCCCATCAATATCTTCACAAACAGGTAAAATAATTCTGTTTATTGAATAAGTGTCGTGTTTATGCATATTTTTGGTAGAACCCCAATCTTGAATTTTTCTTATCCTGGTTTGTTTTTCATTTCAGATCAGCATTGTAAGTCAGGAACCAATTCTTTTCAACTGTTCAGTAGAAGAGAACATCGCATATGGATTTGACGGTGAAGCTAGTTTTTCCGATATAGAAAATGCAGCTGTAAGCACATCAAAACTCTCTTTCTTTCTCCATTTTTGTTGTGCTCATTGGCACATAGGGCTATTCAATATGGATAAACTGACCCGATCCAAAAACCGAATTAGATTCATTTTATTTAGATTAGTATTTTTCTAAAGCCCGAACTGAAGCTAAGGGATTGAACAAGCATATTCTGATCGGGATCAAAATGAAACACTGACAGAAAATGGCGAATGCACATGAGTTCATCGAAGCGTTTCCGGATAAGTACAACACTGTTGTTGGAGAACGTGGATTACGGCTCTCAGGAGGACAGAAGCAAAGGATTGCAATAGCGAGGGCTCTTCTTACAAACCCAAGTGTTTTGCTCCTTGATGAAGCCACAAGTGCACTCGACGCTGAAAGTGAATATCTTGTTCAGGTAATAAAACATAACTCTTGAATCAAATCTCAAAACACTAAAAAACATAAAAAAGAATCATACTCCTATCCTAATTTTCTGAATCTGTTTGCAGGATGCGATGGACTCGTTGATGGCAGGAAGAACAGTGTTGGTGATAGCTCATAGGTTATCGACGGTCAAGACTGCAGACTGTGTGGCGGTTATATCAGATGGTGAAGTGGCTGAGAAAGGCACTCATAATGAGCTTCTCAGTCTTAATGGAATCTACACTAATCTTGTCAAGAGGCAGCTTCAGAGTTCTTCCTCTGTTACCAGCTTGTGAGATAATATCATTCTTCTGACAACAAAATGAAGAAATTTTCGATTCGATTCGAAAACTCCATTTGTATAATTTGAGTCTGGCTACTATCATTGTCTATGAAATCTGAACCCTTTAATGCAGGCATAAAATTGTAATGAGACATTTCAATCCAGTTAACAAATAAAATAGAAATGAGCCATTGAGAATGTCCGTCTAGTTTGCTATTGTTGAAGATGAGAGTTTTCAGGCCTAGCCAGCCTTTGAAGCCACTGATTCGGGCCTCAAAATTTTAATGTTTCTTTGGATAAAAATTTGTTAAAGTTTTTTCATATATCGAGGCATCGATTAGGATGCTTCCGACCAAGGACTAAATTACTCAAGAAAATGAATCTTTCCGCATAAATGGATATGGTAGAAGATTGTACGGTGTTAAGAGGACTAACTATAACAAAAGCTTCCTACCAAACATTTTAAATAGACTAAATCAATCGGTGCATAAATTAAGATAAACATCCGACAGTTTTAACAATTTACGAAGTAAAAATAAATTTTTATAATCAAATAATTTATCACCTAAAAAAAGCTCAATCTACCACATCTTGTCTGAACAGAACAGTAGGCTTCATCGTCAGTAGTTTAGATCAGCGTCTTCTATCATCAACTCCATCTTCCGAGTTTCAAGTTTCAGTAATTCAAACTCTATTCTGGCCTGGCAGGTGCTCCAGCCTCCAACTATGGTTCTCTTCAACTACCTAGAAACCCTCCAATCTCTTCAACTATTTGGGTATGTCATATGTGTTCTAAGTTAGAACTTCTAACCTTTCCTTGACAATGGACTATCATTGGTTTACTATTATTAGTTCCTTGAATTTGGGCTGTGTTATGGCTTTAAGTTTATGGCTTTTCCCTCTAAGTTGGGTCTGTCCAACTACACTCTATGGCCCTTAGACATGTAATTTTCTTTTTTTCTCCAGCCTTTTTTAAACATAGAAAATCCTTTTTCCCAAAACAAAAAAAAAAAAAAATGCATGTGGTCCACTAGTTTTTCTATCTCAACCCCATCGAGTGAAAATCACGGGAAGACACTTATATATATGAATTTTTTTTTTTTCCGCTAAAGATATGTAATCTTTCTTTCTTTTTTTTTTTCTTTTTTTCGCCAATATGTAGTCTTTCTTCGAATGGATAAATGCTATTTTTATTGAAAAAAGCACCATCTACTTCCTTCCAGATTTCCAAAGGAAATGGACAAAATATCTACATAGTCTAGACTCACTAAAAAGTCGCTAGATCTTGCGAAAAAGCTCTATTTTTCTGTTAAGAAAAAAGACAAAAATGGTTCATCCAATCTTCGTCCAATCTAAAGTCCAAATGGAAGACGTAAGAAACCCACCTTTTCAACCCCAAAACGTTGGCACTTACTTTTCTTTAACTATTTTCTTTTTCTAAGAAGTGTTTAAGAATGAATTGGGTAAATTTATTTGATTCATGAAATTTTACAATTCAGAAAGTCTGAAAAAAAAAAACATCGAAAAGCGTAGATAATATCTTGTCAGACTTTTTTTTGTCAAATGGAAAACGGTTCCAAATTACAATAAATGACAATAATGGCAAAAGCCAGAGTAAAGACAGTCAAGAATCCAAATTTGCTATGAACTCTATTTTCGTGGATAACACTCTACTATTCAACGTCAATAGCGTCATATCTTACTCATATTTTTTTTTTTTTGAATATCAGAAGGTTCTGGGCCAAAGCCCGTAATCCCTCGTGCCCGAAACCACAGCATGTAATATTAGTTTCGTCCCAAGCGTCACTCGAACCGGCGACCTCTAAGCTTTGCGTAGGATCTAGGAAGCACAGAAGCGTCACTCAACGTCCGATTCCCGCTCCGGAATCGGAAACGGGAGCGGAAGCGCCTGGAAGCGTGATGGAATCGCGGTTCTGAAAAATCAGTTATTGGAAGCGGCTGGAGAGCGATCGATTCGTATTTGGAAGCGTAGTGATGTATAAACGGAAGCGCAATAATTTTCTTTTGATGCTTATATTGCCTCCTGGTTTTCTATTGGTGTGTGGATATGGTTTCTTGTCTCTTTTGAATCATATGTTCGAAATTCTCTCAAGCTTCAGAATAAAATATCAAATGACCATGAATCATCTCGTTTCAATTATTCAAGTTCTGGTGGTTTTGCTTTCAGATCTAATCGGCGATTTCATCGGGAGAGGAAGCTTAACTGGGCTTTTAATCTTTCTTTCAATTTGGGCTTTGAACCTCTTCCCCCAATCTCTTTGACTTTTGCGGACTAAATCAACTTTTTAATTATTTGTATATTATATCATTAATCATATGTGTGTTACGTTTTCGTTTGTTTTAAAATCTTCTGATTTTTTTTTCTATTATTTATAGAGTAGTGTAAATTAAACATTTAACAAAAATATATATATATATATATATATATATATGTATGTATATACGCTTCCAACACGTATCCGCTTCCCATATTTTATAAAAAAATCCGCTTCCGCTTCCGCATACCCGCTCCCGTTTCCATGCAACGTAGCGTAGGATCATATCTTACTCATATTTTTCTAACACATTATCTCAAGATTCCAATACAATATATACACATATTATTGAAAATTAACAAAATTATAGCCATACATGCATAATTCATATCGAACGCATGTTTATACCAAAATTTGATTTGTCTTTTCAAAGTCCAAAATTCAATGAAACTTTAATAAGTCGGCAAGGTATATTCTCTATCTTTTCACAGAACAAAGAGTTGGGCGAGTGATGCAAGTAGACAACGATGTGTAGAATAGGATGTTTTACGATTTGTCTTAGTGCTATAAACAAAAACAAATCCTTTTGTCATTATATTACCCAAAAAATCCAATGATCCTTATTATTGACTAATTGGTCGTTAATTTATTTTTTATCATCTCTACACATCAAATTTAAATTCTAACTAGACAAGAAGAATACAAACAACTATTTATATGTCTTGATCAAATTAATTGGTCATCACTCTAAAATAAACTCCATTAAGCAATTTCTTTCAACAAAGTATGATTCCCTCCATTTCTTAAGATCATTAATTTTATTTATCAAAATATGTAAATAGATTAAATGAAAGTGAGTAGTCCATTTTTGACATTCTAATTGATAGAAATACCAGATTGATAGAAATCACCGATTTTATGTACAACAGCTTAACTTAAGTATATATGAAACAAACAAAAAAAACTCAATATGATACATACAAAAGATATTTATGTCTACATGAAAGACTTGTTTATTAAGCATATATTATCATGATATTCGACAAACAAAGCAAGCAAATCAAATAACGAATTTCATGTTACTCACGTATATTAAGCAGATAGCTATAAAACACAACAAATACAACACATTAATTATCAGTATCGTATACTTCAGCCGAATATAAGACAATTCAGATTGGTATATGAATTGTTCAATGTTAGCTTTATTTAAAAAATATGGGTAAAGTAGGATTGGCATATGAGCTTTCTGTATTATGTCATTGGAATAGAAAACTAACACGTCATTAGAATAAACCAAATGATAGTGATCTAGTGGTTCCTATTTGATTAGGAGTTGGGTGGTAAAAACCTAGTGTATAACCTATTCGACTGTTACATTTATCATATAAAATTAATTGGGTGGTAAAAATGCATATCATCTTCTAGTTAAAAGAAAACACGTGCCTAGAATATATGCATGAATAGGACCAATAGGTTAGTGTAATTATGTTTATTGTCACCACCACCTGGAAAATGATCTGATTCGCTATGCAGTTGATTAATTGTATGCCCCAATATTCTAAGCTAACCTTTCAACACCAATGTGGGAGGCCATTTATTCTGATGTCCTTTCAAAGGATTTGAGAACCATGTGTCGGTATTTTGATTCTTGAAATTTATCTCTCACATCAATAATTTAAGTATATACATAGTAAACATAATGTTTTTAAAAATTAAGTTAATTTTTTTAAAAATACTTTTAATGGATTAAAAGTGTGTAATAGGCCAATCCATTCAAAATTGAAGTATCCGAAAAATGGATCATATCATAATATGGTTTTAATTGATTTACTTTTTATTTATCTAAAAACCAAATCTGAATTTGAACCTAACCGTAAAATATAAAAAAGTTATTCAAAAACTATTTAATTCAAAAGATACAAATAATTTAATACTCGTTTTTAAAATCTTTTACCATTGACCAGCTTGAATTCATACATATTTTTCAAAACTCTTTTTCAGAATATATTATTGTTATCGTCTTCTCTTTATTACCGAGTCAAACGCCGATTTCTCATGTTCTACAATATATGGCTCTCTTTATTATCCTTCCTATATTTGTTTTAGAATATCTTCTTGTTTATTACTACAAATAGGCCTCGGCAAAATAACCGAACCATAAGAACCGAATCGGAACCGAAATAAAAAGAACCGAACCGGAACCGAACCGAAATTTTAAATACTCAAATAGATCCTAAATTTTAGAACCAGAACCTTAACAGAACCGAACCGAAATATTTCGGATACCCGAAAATACCCGAAATATAATTTATATCTAAAAATATTAGTTATTTTTAGATCGATTAACCAAAAATATCTAAAATACCAACAAATATTTGGAAAATATATAAAAATACTTAAAATATTCAAAAAATACTCGAAAATATCCGAAAATACCCAAAAATATCCAAAGTACCTAAAAATATCTGAAATAAAATATCCAAATGGATCCTAAACTTCAGAACCAAAAGAACCGGAACCGAACTGAAATTGTTTGGTTCCTATATGGATCTTAAACTCTAGAACCGAAAGAACCGGAACCGAACCGGAATCTAACCAGAACCGAAAGGATACCCGAACGCCCATGCCTAGTCTACAAACTTGAATTCTTCTTCTCTTCGTCTCTCATTCACATATAAAAAGAAGCATCATCGCATGAGTATCTCACAACACATCATAATGACCAAAGAAATGGATTCATCACTTAAAATCATCGACGAGGCACAAGTCCCTCCATCAAACTCTGACTCGTCCGAGTCACTCACTCTCCCACTCACCTTCTTCGACCTCCTCTGGTATAAACTTCACGCCGTCGAACGAGTCATCTTCTACAAACTCACTGACGCAACTCGTCCTTTCTTCGACTCAGTCATCGTCCCCAACCTCAAAACCTCTCTCTCCTCCTCCCTCTCTCACTACCTCCCACTCGCCGGAAAACTCGTCTGGGAACCACTTGATCCCAAACCAAAAATCATCTACACCCCAAACGACGCCGTTTCATTCACCGTCGCCGAGTCAAACGCCGATTTCTCTCGTTTATCCGGCAACGAACCATACCCCACCGCCGAGTTATACCCGTTAGTCCCTGAGTTACAAGTTGCCGATGACTCAGCCGCCGCCGTGTCGTTTCAAGTCACGTTATTTCCAAACCAAGGGTTTTGCATCTGCGTTAACGCACATCATGCCGTTTTAGATGGAAAAACGACAACCATGTTTCTCAAATCTTGGGCTCACACATGTAAAAATCAAGATTCTTCTCTACCGGACGATCTTATCCCAATTTACGATCGTACGGTCGTAAAAGATCCAACGGATTTAGATACAAAAGTCTTAAACGCTTGGCACAAAGTAGGCAAAGTCTTCACCGGTGGTAAAGAACCAGAGAACCCTAAAAGTTTAAAGCTTTTATGGTCGCCGGAAGTTGGTCCCGACGTTTTTCGATACACTCTCAGTCTCACTAAAGAGAATATCCAAAAGCTTAGAGAAAGACTTAAGAAAGAGTCTTCCTCCTCTGTTTCCTCATCACCAAAAGAGCTTCGTTTATCAACGTTTGTGATTGTTTACTCTTATGCTTTAACGTGTTTAATCAAAGCTCGTGGCGGTGATCCGAATAGACCAGTCGGGTACGGATTCGCAGTGGATTGTCGAAGCCTTATGGTTCCACCAGTTCCTTCTAATTATTTTGGTAATTGTGTCTCTGCTTGTTTTAAAATGCCGATAAAGGCAGAGAGTTTTATGAGTGAAGAAGGGTTTTTAGCTGCTGCAAGATTGGTTAGTGATTCGGTTGAGGCATTGGATGAGAATGTAGCATGGAAGATTCCAGAGCTTTTGGAAGGGTTTGCGACTCTTTCACCAGGAGCACAAGTTTTGTCTGTTGCCGGGTCGACCCGGTTCGGAGTATACGGGTTGGATTTCGGGTGGGGTAGACCGGAGAAAGTGGTGGTTGTGTCGATTGATCAAGGCGAAGCGATTTCTATGGCGGAGAGTAGAGATGGGAATGGTGGTGTAGAGATTGGCTTCTCGCTCAAGAAACATGAAATGGATGTTCTTGTTGAGTTGCTTCATAAAGGGCTAGAAAATTAAATCATATTTTTTCCTTCTTCATAAGAGTAAAATAATACCTCTCTGTATCAATTAAGATGTTTAAGATTTTTACACACAAATTAATAAAACAAAAAACTCTCATTTAATTTATTTCTTTTACATAAAAATTCCATTAAATAAAATAAATTGACCAAATTAAAAATAATACTCTAAAATATAGGGGAACCATCCTTTCTAGTAAACTAGATTAGGACCCGTCCGATGGACGGGTTTAAGTTTTTAATTAAAATTAAATTTACCAAAATAAATTAAATTTAAATTTTGGTTGTAAGTAAAAATTATCTTTAAAATATATAGAATTCTTTTTAGTTAGAAAAAGTTATTTTTGTATTCGTTCTTTTGTCTTAAGAAACAATTTGCATTTGTAAATTTTAAATTTATTGTAATGGTTTTTACAAAAATCCAGTTAAATTAAATTTAAAATCACCAAAACTTTCTCCAAATATTTTTCATTATTATTATTTTCAAATTTCGAAAACCATAATTTTATCATCTCGCCCAAAATAATTTAACAACATTTCTAGAAAATATTTTAGATGCAAACCACTGGTTAAACCATCATCTTATTTACATCTATTACCAAATTTACTATTTATTTTACCATTATATATATATATATATATATATTTTTTTTTTTTACACGTGTCACGATCATATGAATTACTAAGTTTACAAACTAAGCTTTATATAATAAGTTACTAACCTTGAAAACCAAACTTTATATAGTAAATATATTTACGGTGTATACTATCATTGTTCTGTTTGTAAGTTTAGTTTACACTCGCTTTGCACCTTGAATCCACCACCTCTCACTATTAAAAAGCTAGACCACACTCTTACCCCCTTTCTTAGAAAACTCCATTTGCCCATGTGTGTATTTTCACTTGAGGATCGCAATGATTCAGTTTACTCTTGTATGCTATGTAACTACATGGTCATCTAAATATTAAAGTTGAACGTACAAAAAAATAAAAGTTTTACCAATAAAACGAAATTGAATCAATAGTGGTGTTTTGAAGAATTTATTTTGTTTGGTGAAAAAATATGAACATTCTATTTGTTTATATAGAGGTGAGTATTTACAATCTTTTATCTTTTAGGATATTAATTAATTATATAATTTCTTAAATCCTTTTTTAAAGAAAAGTGTAATCCTGTTTTTTTTAGAATTAGTAACTTCAAATTAAAATAAGTAAATAATTTTATAATTTCTATTTTATAATAAGATTTAAAAATAAATAAAAGGAAGTTTTTGTTTTACACGTTAAAATCTGAGATCGATAAATTTGTCACATACGTATTGTTTCCTTATATATATATATATATTTTCTTAAATAAACAAAAGGAAATTTTTTATTTACACTTGTCAAAATCTGAGATCGATAAATTGACACGTGGCACGATCTTATGAATTATTAACTTTGAAAACCATACTTTATATAATAAGATTTTTTTTTTTAATACATAACTAGAATATGACCCGCGGTACACCGCGGGTTAATTTTTTTTGTTACAAAATAATTTAAATTATAGGTTGTATTTGTTTTGGTAATATTGTTTGTTTTGTTTAGTGTTTAAAATTATATAATTGTATTTTAATTCTTAATTCTAGGATTTCACCCATGATATACTGTCTCGTATTAATATAAATCCAAACCCGTCCCACCATATAACCCCGTCCGGTGAAATTAAATATCATTTTGTTATTTCTTTTTAATAGTACTTTATTTTGGAGACATAATTCGAATCAGTTTAAAAATTTGCTTTCAAATGGTTCTCATAATATATAAGTTTATTTATAGAGGTTCAAATATTATATTAATATTATAGTTTTAATATCAAAGTTTATATTTATAAATTGATTATATTAATATCATAGTAATTTATATATTTATAAATAAATTATGCTAACATAGTACTTTATATTAATATATCAAAGTTTTTATTTATAAATTGATTGTTGCATCAAATATATTTGTTAGCATAATTATAGATTGTGTTGTATGTGTGTTAATAATGTAATTTGATCTATAATCATTTTATTATAACTAAAACAATAAATCATCTCAAGCCCAATAAACAAAAGGCAAGCCCAAATATGCCAAGAGAGCAAAACCCAAACTGAGTAGATATTTTGTGCTCATATTATTCCAGAAAAAAATTAAGAAAAACGAAAATTGGAAAAAAAAAAAAAAATTGATGGTTTCCTGAGAAACAAAAAAAAACACACAAAAATATGTAAAACTGAAAATCGACAACAAGCTCGGTGTCTCGCCGATCGAATCCCAATTCGATTCCGTTCTACATGACTTCCTATTCAAGGATTATAATCGGTTCCGAAGAACATGTTCAAAGCTGAATCAATAGGTAAGAGAATTTCAATCGTTACCGATAATTTAGATATCGAATTTTTTGCTTTCCAAACAAAGATTTGTTGTTTGTACATAGGTTTAATTTTAAAGACGATTTCATTTTGCATGTCTTTATTCCGAATACGATTTGATTGTGAAACCAATTTCTAAAGTTTGGTCATACATGAAAAAACATAACTTATGAATCGATTGATGCAGCCACTTGTGGTTTGACAGAGAAAGAACTTCGGGAATAATATGAAAGCTTGTTGAAGGGTTTGGCAATGATAAAGACAATATACTATCAAAACCCGTGAAGGTAAGAAAGAGATTGTATGTAGAATCAAATTTTTGTTATATAGGATTATATGCTAAGAATATTGTTAGATTCATGGCAATGGTTATTAACCACATACCACCATATAGTTTGCAGCTGGGTATCAGCGTATAGGTGTGGAGGACATGCACAAAAGGAAAAATTCAGAAAAAAGCTCCTGAGATTATAGATCAATGTATGTTGATGGACCACATCAAATGCTTTGAAACTGTGGCCGTTGGAGTGAAAGACATTGTACCATATTCAGTCGCCTTCAGTTGTGGATCTAGAATATCCAGAGGTAGTGTATATACAGAGAAAGCAAAGGATGCGGCCATTGGTGTTGGTAAGGTTTTTGACCTTAAGCTAGAGATCAGAATTGTATTGGTTTTTTCTGTGTTTAGAGGTAGGAGAAATGAGCGATTATATATAGAATTTTGATAGGTTAGTAGGGTTATGGGTTAGAGAATAAAAATAATCTTGATTAGCAAGGTTTGAATATCTTTGAAAATCTTTAAATCGTCATATACTCTTAACCAATTTAGGATAATATCGTTAAAATCGTTTATATATGAGATATTTCCAAATATGTAAGGTTGATTGATTCCAGAATTTATATAGCTCATTTATTTAGGAAAGAAAAATGTTTTGCACTTAATTCATTAGCACCTATTTAGGAAACGATTTGGATCAATTTGTTATAACTATATATTCTCCATATCTTTCGATTATGAGAAACTAAATGCATTTTGCCTTGAATGTATGAAGCATCAAATATGGTAAAATTCGATTGAGAGAATTCGGGTAGAAAATCACAAAGAAGGTAAGATCCGAGATTCTCCAAAGCGGGTCGAAAACAATTAATTCCGGGTCAAAATTTTGATCCGATTAGGGACCCCAAAAACTGCTGCAAAAATGTATAGTAGAATATAATTGAATACCTCTACATCTCTCTTATCTATTTATAGTATCATCACCGGATAAGTAATGCATCGCTCACCACAAAATTGTCGGAGAAATGGATTCATCACTTAACATCATCGACGTGGCACAAGTCACTCCTTCAAACTCTGACTCGGCGGAGTCACTCACTCTCCCACTCACCTTCTTCGACCTTATTTATTTCAAACTTCGCGCTGTCGAACGAGTCATCTTCTACAGACTCACTGACGCAACTCGCCCTTTCTTCGACTCAGTCATCGTTCCAAATCTCAGAACCTCTCTCTCCTCATGCCTCTCTCACTATCTCCCACTCGCCGGCAAACTTGTATAGGAACCTCTTGATCTCAAACCAAGCATCGTCTATTCCCAAAACGACGCCGTTTCATTCACTGTTGCCGAGACAAACGCGGAGTTCTCTCGTTTATCCGGCAACAAACAATTCCCCTCCACCGAGTTATACCCGTTAGTCCCCGAGTTACTCAGCTCCGACAACTCAGCCTCCGTTGTGTCGTTCCAAGTCACGTTATTTCCAAACCAAGGGTTTTGCATCGGCGTAACCGCACACCATGCCGTTTTAGATGGAAAAACGACAACCATGTTTCTCAAATCTTGGGCACACTCATGTTAAACATCAAGATTCTTCTCTACCGCAGGATTTAATCCCAAATTACAATCGTACGGTCATAAAAAGTCCAACGGATAGTGAAAACAAAGTTTTGGATGAGTGGCACTCTTTAGCCAAAATGTTAGCGGGTGGTAAAGAACCTGAGAACCCCAAGAGTTTAAAGCTTAAACCGTCATTTGAGATTGGTCCTGACGTTGTCCGGTACACTCTCGAGCTCACTCGTGAAGATATCCAAACGCTTCGCGAGAGACTTAAGAGAGAATTTTCTTCCTCCTCACCCTCACCCTCAAAGGACCTTCGCTTGTCTACATTTGTTATTGTTTACTCATACGCGTTAGTGTGCTTAATAAGAGCTCGAGGCGGAGAACCGAATAGACCGGTTGGATATGCATTTTCAGTAGATTGTCGAAGCCTCATCAATCCACCCACCCCAAGTTATTTTGGAAATTGTATCTCTGGTTGCTTGAGAATGATGTTGAAGGCAAAAACGTTTATGGGTGAAGAAGGGCTTTTGGCTGCTGCGAAAATGGTCAGCGATTCGATCGAGGAATGGGACGAGAGTTTGGCATGGAAGATTTCGGATTTCCTAGCATTTGCAACTCTTCCACCAGGGACACAAATTATTTTAGCTTCCGGGTCTACCCGATTTGGAGTATACGGGTTGGATTTCGGATGGGGCAGACCGGATAAAGTGGTGATTGTGTCGATCAGTCAAGGCAATGGGATTTCCATGGCGGATAGTAGAGACCAAAACGGCGGTGTGGAGATTGGCTTCTCACTCAAGAAACAAGAAATGGACACACTAATTGATTTGCTCCAATATGATCTAAAAAATTAAACCACCTTTTCTTCTTCACATGAATAAAATTGTTTTTCCTAAATGATATCTTCAAAACGATAACGCCAACTTATCTAATCAATTTCTTTTTAGTAATATTGTGAGATATCCATATTTGTGTATATCAGTATATGCTTAAGAAAATGACTAGTATAATCATTTGGTGACAAAAAGAAAAATATGTAACATTTCTACAACTTTTTGGATATATACGAACGTATAAATGGACTCAATCTCTCGATTTTAGTACCAAACATTTTTTTTAATATATTAATTTATATTTGATAAACAAACAAAAATTACTCGAGAAATGAAGATATGATTTTAGTTTAGAACGCGTCATAGTATATAAAAAACATGTGATTGAATGTTATTTTGTCCAGACCCTGATGATAAAGTGACTTATATGTGGTACCTAGTCTTGTCTAGTTTTCATCATGGAGAAAAGAAGACAAATGAATGCAAAAAAAAAAAAAAAAAAAAGACAAATGAATGAGCTTCTCATCTACTTGTACACCCTCAGTTGAAAGTCCGTTTTTGAAAGTTAGCCAAGTAATAAGACTATCTACAATGCAGGTGTGTTGAATTATTTATTCAACTGTTGAATTTCCACATTGCATCTGTTGAATAATTGAAAAACCTTACGTGGATTCAACTTGGTTGAAAGTATTCAACATGTTGAAAAGAAAATTTTTGGGTCCGCGCATGCCACGTGTCAATAAGTGAGTGGTAGGTGTGTTTCAAACTCGGGGAAAAGAGAGTGTACTCTCTAAAACCTTTTTTTTAATTTCTTTTTTCGAAAAAAGAAGAAATTTTTTAGATGCTGACACTTGCTATATTTTCATTGGATATTGAGATTTTGGAGATTTTTATTTCATATTATCTATTTACAATCAATTATTACATACCAAACGAACTTAAAAAAAAAAATATTTATATGAAAATTTATAACTTTTTAAACTCTATAAATAGAGACTTGGTTCATTTCATTTGGACACATAAAAAAAAACACAATTTCTACCATAATTTTCTTATTCTTCTCCCATAAACGCATGGTTATATCCTTAATTTTTTTTTGAAATGGATTCTAATAATAATCCTATGCAAAATTCTACTAATTTTCCTTTTCTCTATCCAAATTTCAACAATAATCCTACGCAAAATTCTACTAATTACCCTTTTCCCTATCCAAATCCCAACAATTATCAATTTCAAAATCCATCTTTCAACCAACCTCAAAATGTCCCAAATTATGGTTTTCCACCAAATTTTTCTATGCCCTCATCTGTTCCAAACTATAATCCATATTATGGATCGATGATTCTATATTCATCTCAACCACCTCCTTATTCTTCCACTCCAACTGATAATGAAAATGCTTTAAATGTTAGAGCAATTGAATTTCCCGAATTTTCTACACAAGTGACTCTTGGAGGGATGAGCGGTGCTGATGAAGCCACTCCAAATACAGAAGATTCAACCTCTACTCACCGGAAAAGCCCCAATTGGACAACTGAGCAAAATTTGGTGTTGTTGAGCGGATGGATTAAATATGGAACAGACAGCATTGTTGGCAGAAACCAAAAGAGTGACTCATATTGGGGCAAAATTGCTGAGTATTGTAATGAGCATTGCTCATTTGATCCTCCTCGTGATGGAGTTTCCTGTAGAAATCATTTCAACTACGTGAACAAAAAATTGGGCAAATGGATTGGCGCTTACGATAATGCTAAACGTATGCAACAAAGTGGGTGGTCGGAGAATGATGTATTGGCGAAAGCACAAGAACTATATTCAAGTGGTAAGAATGGGAAATTCAATTTAATGTCAGAATGGCTTGCTGTCCGTGATCAACCACGTTATGGTAGTCAGGTAGGAGGAAATAATGGATCTGGAAGCAGTGGATCTAAGAGGGCCCACGAGAGTGATGCAAGTGACTCCAACTCGGTAGGATCTAGTGTTCGTCCCATGGGGAGGGATTCAGCTAAAAAGAAAACTAGAAAAAAAGGCAAGGGAGAAATCTTGGAAGTCGTTACCGAAGAGTGGAATGAATTCAAGCAATTGAAGGAGCAAGAGCTAGAACAATTGGTAAAAATAGCCAAGACACAAGAGGAAGCAAACCAACTGATGAAAGAAAAGACTCAAACTAAGAAGATGAAGATGTTTATGAAGCTAAGTGAAAAGGAGCATCTTGATGATCGGAGCAAAGAGCTGTTGGAGAAGTTGAGCCACGATCTATTTGGAAACTAGAGGTTTGTCAAGTGTATGGCTACACTTTGTCACTTTTTACTTGAATGTTTGTCATGTTTATCTCTGTATTTTATAATTTTGTGTAATAATGTTTGTTTGTCATTTCGTGCAATAATGTTTGTTTGTCATTTCGTGTAATAATGTTTGTTTGTCAGTATTTCATTATTTTCCGACAATGTAATCTGTCACCTTGGATTTTTATGTAATCGAATCTTTATCTTATTTTTATCTTTTAAATTTCAACCACATGATGTTTTAATCGAATCTGTATCTTATCCTTCTCTTTTAGATTTCAACCACTCGATTTTTTATAAATAGGACCTCATTTTCCCGTTGATGAAATAATATCGCAAATCTCACCTTACTAGTTAAAAAAAAAATCAATGGATCCATCAAAATTTTCTTTTGATATCGAAGCTTACAAAAGAAAATCTGAAATTGAAGAGAGGTATATCATCAATCTGAAATTGATGAAATAATACTACTGCTTTGGAGTGCTTGCGAAGATTCTCTAAAGGAATCATACGACTGTATGAGCAAGAGTATCTCAGAGCCCCAACTCAAGATGACCTGCAGAGAATTATGCGTGTTAGTGAGATGCGAGGGTTTCCGGGGATGATTGGGAGTATTGATTGCATGCACTGGGAATGGAAAAATTGTCCTACGGCGTGGGAAGGTCAATTTACTCGAGGCGATAAGGGAACCACCACTGTTATTCTTGAAGCAGTGGCATCTCATGATCTATGGATCTGGCATGCTTTTTTTGGATGTCCCGGCACCTTGAACGATATAAACGTTCTAGACCGTTCACCGGTTTTTGATGATGTTGAACAGGGAAATACTCCAAGAGTCAAATTCTTCGTGAACCAACGTCCATATGATATGGCATACTATCTAGCTGACGGTATTTATCCTTCTTATCCCACTTTCGTTAAATCGATTAGGCTGCCTCAAAGTGAACAAGACAAGTTATTTGCACAACGTCAGGAGGGATGTCGCAAGGACATTGAACGTGCATTTGGAGTGTTGCAGGCTCGATTTAAAATTATTCGTGAACCAGCTCGCATGTGGGACATAACCGATTTGGCTATCATCATGAGTGTGGATGTCGGATTCACACACTCAAGTATTTTTATTAGTAGGAAAGATTATTCTTGAGGGACAAAAAATAAGAACGTAAAAAGGCTTATGAATACAAAAAATTGATATCGTATTTCTTGCTCGAGAGGAAGATCCCCTTTACATGGCCATTGGCCTTCATATTTATACATAGAGAAACGACATTTAAAGTGAATAATTAAGTACAATTATTCTCTCTTAAATGTGTCCGTTTTGATTCCTTGACTTTAATGCTAAACGTTTGAATTTGAGTTGACTCTGGTCTTTATGGGCCTCGCCTTTTGGCCCAAGTGTCCTTGAACCGTCTTACCCGTGTCTTCTACACCGAACTCATGTTGAAGCGCAATCACTTCGGATTCTCGAAGTGGTGATAACCACTTCGACCGTTCCTTCGGCTCACGGGTCCAATGGGCTTTATCCTTTATGGGCCATTATCTTGTCTTCGTGGCAATCTTTGGTTGGTCTCGGACTTCTGGTGCGGGATCCGACACCAACAATTAGCCCCCCAAGTTCTTCGAAGTGCTATTCCAATTCGGAGGACTTTAAATGCTTTAATAACCAAAGATTGCGTTCCGAGGAATCTTCTGATTTCTTCCCGCCAAGATCCCATCAGTCCTTTAATTTCGGCGCTACCCATATTTAGTCGCGTGACATATGTCACCATTATGACCGTATCTTAATTATTTTCTATTAAAGCGGGAAACCTTTCCACTTCCCCCACGATTCCCAAGGCGGTTTCATCATTATCACTTAGCTTTCGTGAGGTAACTTCTTTCATCATCACTTTTACTCTTACGCTTTAATCGAAAACTTTCTCTTCTCTTTCTTCGCCGATTTTCTCTTTGCCGGATTTTAAATTTCTCATATTCTCCGATGACTTCTGATTCCGAGAGACCCGAATCTCCGTCATTCGACGATAGGCGCCCTAGTAATGACGAGTGCACTCGCCCTAACGATATTGCCGGTCCGCACTATAGATCCACTTGTACTCTTCAATCCCTCGAGCGGTTGAGAGAGCTTTGCCGGATTCCGCCGGAAATTATGGCGGAAGCACAAATAGCTGCCCCCACAGAATCCCCAGAGAACCATCGCGATGGTTACTTCTGTGTGTACGAGATTTATTTCAAGGGTTGCGGATTAACCTTCCCGCTTCCCGAAGCCCTAGTTCGGTACTTGGCGGTTCTCGAGATTGCTCTTCCTCAATTGACCCCCAATCTTCTCCGAACCATACTTGGAATTATAACAGTAGCGGCGGAAGCCGGATACATTATAGGGGTCGCCGAGTTGAATGAGCTTCTAAGCGTGAGAAGTTCATCGAAGAAGACAGGGTATTTCTCGGCATACCCTAATGCTAACAGGAACGTCATTTCACATCTTCCAAACAAGGATGAAAATTGGCATCACCCTTGGTTCCTGATTAAGAAAACCCCTGCTTCGATTGGGAGTCTATCAGATTTACTTCCATCGAAGTGGTCCGCGAAACCTGGTAGAAATTAGGTCGTATACACTCCTCCAATTTTATTATTCCTATTGATTAAACTTGTTATTTTCACTTCGCAGCTTTCGTCGCTCCGACTTTACCAACTGAAGAATTCATTGGCTTCTTCAAGATAATCCTCGAAGGGGAAACCCTTTGGAATTCTTTCACTCTCGATTGGTTCATAGAAGCCAATCGAAAACTCAGGATGAGCCCTCCCAACCGCCTCCTCCCTCAACCCAGGGAATGTCAGCTCGGGCTCTCACTGCCCAGCGAAAAATGATCTCCAAGCCGATGGCTGAGGCTTGCGACGAGAACAAGGCGTTTCTTGCGACCGCCATTGACAAAAAAGATTATAGCAAAACCTTATTGGTTGACGACG